GATTAAGAAGGAGTAGAAATAGAGAATAATCCAAGGCGAGACGTTATCTCTTTCCTTAAGACAAATTGCCCCGCTACGGTGCTTATGGTGAATGACACTTGTCTTCCAAGATACAATGGATTTACAACCTGTGATAGCAGTACTTCAAACCACAAGAAACCGACGAACTTTTTGACAAAATTTCCCCTCTATAAAGGAAATATATGAAATGCTATGGAATTAGAAAGGAGAGAATTGTAAGAGGAGAATGAATGCTCAATGTCATTGGTGTACCCAAAATAATGTCCATATAATTCTATTTATAGATGTGGAAATGGTGCAAATGAAGTAGTGTGGGCCAAAACATGTATTCTTTTTAAAAAAGTTGCAACACTTGGCCAAAACTTGTATCATTTCGAAAAGTTGCAACACTTCATTTCTTTCAACTTTGGTTCCCAATTTCTCATTCATCTAGAATTGGTTTCGAGATTCCAAATATACCACGACGATCTACTCGACGAGTAGAAGAAGTTGATCTATTTACTTTTGTAATTTGACCATCGGATCAAGTCCGAATATTTGATCGAAGTTGACACGTAGTCACACCTTTTCATTTTTCAATTTTTGGTTACTAATTTGAACCAATTCCTACATAACCTATAGCTTTATGTCACGGACATGAAAGAAGCACATGTGAACTGGGTGGAACCGGAACTGAGCACTACCCTCTTTTTAGTGTTCATGGACAGGTCTAAATGTTGAAAATAAACGTTGGTGCGACTCAAATATCAAAACTGCAAAAGGCAAAGAGATCGCTTCTAGAATGCCCGACTGGGGAGGTTTGATAATGACCCAAAATGATAATTGGTGTAAAAAAATTCCTAAATGGTGAGGAGAATCAATACACCAAAATAGTCACAGAAACACTTACCCCATTAAATGATAATTGAATGTGTTAAAAATAATGTTATTTAGTATTAGTGGTGTTAGAGCATGCAACACTTGATAAGGTCAATCAAATGAAAACGCGACATTGCATTTAAGTAAAAATCTAACCATTAAGTAATGCTATTATAATTTCAATCAATGTGAAGCTAATGTGACATTTAATGATAAGTGACTCGTTTAATTCCACCTTCCATTTAACCTATCATCTAACACCACATAAACTTGAATCATAACCTCAATGGAGCTAAGTATAATTACTCTTCATTTAATGTTATGCAATTGACAACTAGATTGGTAATTGACATCAATGATGTTGAATGTTAAACAAAGATACGAAGGTTTTCCATTTCACCCCTGACTATTTGCACCAATAGCATGATAACCACCAACCCTCCAATGTTTTCCATATTATCAAGAAGGTGATGAATGGGTTACTAATCTGTTTAATAAACAAGTAGATAATTATAATGCAGAATAAAACATAGCAAATGAGAATCAGTGAACTTGACTAAGAATTTCTACTGTTCGTTTTAAATTTTTTTCCCCCTTTTGGCTAAGGAGTTATACTCGATAGTCATATGTAATTTTACCTACATAGTCACAATGCTCGACTCACAAAAAGATTATCTTTTCTCAATCAGAAAAATCGGTATTTGTAATCCATACAGTAAAGAATTAGCTGAGGTTACAAATTGAAAAGTGGCGAAAGATGCCACAGACAAAATTATAAAGGGATTCAATTATAATAAGGTGAATAGATTAGGGACTAACAGTTAATTTCCCCTGTCGATAAACACAGTATAAAAACGCCAAAATTGAGGTCCACCGAGCGGGAGCGAGAAAGAGGAAACGGCAGAGACTGTAACCCCTCGAAAATTTCGCGCACACTTAAACACTATTCATTCTCCAAATTCTGTAAAATTTCTCCGTAATCAACATTTTTTGTATTTGATCTTTGAAGATTATTCGATTTTCCATCGGTACACACGGAGATTCCAAATCAGTCCTCCGCCGGACTGCTAACAGCGGCGAGGCGTAGTTAATTTTTGTGATTTGGGAGGGGTAAAATGGGGAATCAGAAGGTGAAGTGGACATCGGAGGAAGAGGAAGCCCTAAAAGCGGGAGTGGTGAAGCACGGCACCGGCAAGTGGAAGAACATCCTCATAGATCCTCAGTTCGCGCCTTACCTCATTAATCGTTCTAACATCGACCTCAAGGTTTCCCATTTTTAAACCTCATCGAATTTACACAAGTTCTCTATTCCATTTCACTATCTGTTGATGTTCAAAATTTTCGTGTTAGTCTCTCTATCTGGATGTTTTATTAAAGCATCGCTGTTACTCGATCACGCGTGTATTTAATTATGTACGTGCTTGCTTTTGAATGGAGGCATATTTCTGCTTAATTTGAAAACATGATTAGAATGTTTTATGATAAAGTAGCCTATAAACTGCGTGTTTGGTTAAGCTTGATAAATTAATTATAAGTAAATATTAAGATTTAAAATAAGCTCAAAAAAAAAAAAAATGTACTCTATTTGTTTGGTCAAAATAAGTTACTTTTTATACTTGTATGATGAAAAGTACTTATCTAAACATATTTGAAAACAAAAATTCACTCACAAGTGAGTTTGACGTAATTTTAAGCTTTGCCAAACATGCACCAAGTAAAGTATCTCGTTGCGAATCCAATTGTTTACCTGAGACTTTTGTGCTACCACGGTCTAACAATAGTAATCCTGGAAAGTGTAGAGAGAACTCCTGCAAAGTAAAGATATATATGCTATAGGCTACTGTATTCTCATAGCAAAAATTAAATCTACTGGATTACTTCTGGTCAGAAAATTATCGAGGCTGACTCTTCTTTCGAAGGATGAAGGTTCAAACATATTACAAGAAAACTAATACTTAAGACAGGGTAGTCACGTGTAAGTAAAATAAATGGAATTGTTAGAGCAGATGTTCCTTTAGAAGGACAAAATCACATTATATTGTTGCACAAGTGGGCATAGCCGTTGAGTTCAAATGAAGATTTATTATGACGCTCAAACTAATCATAAATAAACATGCTACTTAAGGAGATCTTTGTCTTGATAACAATATGCAACTGAGACAGATAGATATGTAAAATGTGTAAAAGAAAAAAAAAATGGATGCAGGCCATCATATTTTTATTTTATTTTTGTGTTAAGTAGTAGATATTTCTCCCTGAATTTACTTGACCTTTGGCTGCATGTATTTATGTTTTATACTTTTGTTGCTCGTGGTATTTACTTGTCTTCGTTTTGGTTCATTTACACAGGACAAATGGCGGAACATGAGTATTAGCTATGGACAGTGTTCTAGAGAAAAATCTAAGGCTTCTAGAGTAAAAACAATTTCATCTGAAGCTCTCTCCACTCCCACCACTGAAAACTTAGTTGCCGAGGCTGATGCTGTTGATGATTTTTCCAGAAGCCCAAGGGACGCTAGAAATGCTCCAGGGTATCGTTTTGTCATTTTCCTTGTTATAATGATTTCTAACAACATTTTCGTCTAAAGGAAGTGAGAATATAGGAGAAGGTTGGAAAGAATTTGGGTATCTGAAGGCTTCTGATTCACTGTATGTTGTTCCAGTGTTTCTGTATTCTGGGAATAAATTGAATTTGCTTTGCTTTTATACATAGAATTACTAGTTTCAGTCTGTGTTCTTTCTCACAATGTGTTAAAAGTTGTTTTGAGCTACCTTTGTTTTTACTAAGAAATTGTTGCATAGGCATATATTTCTTTCTCACTGGATGCATGATGCTTTTTAGGTACACAACCATGATATTTGAAGCACTTTTATCGGTCAAAGACTCCAATGGATCCAATATTGGTGCTATTGTGGAATTTATTGAGGTCAGATGGATGTTCTACTGTTCTCTTTTTATTTCTGCTTTATCTAAGAGGATTTGTATGAAGTGATGGACAAGTAGTTTCTGGGATTAACAACTTAAGTATCATTTTGTTCGACAGTTTATCATAATCTATCAATTTGTAAGTGAGCCCTAGAGTTCAAAAATTTCGAGGAATAGTTTATCAAGTAAGTTTATGAATGGTTTGTGAACAGCATGGTCATCATATTATTGAAAGAGTCTGCAGTATAAAAAATTTGGTGTCTTGATCTTTTAAATAAAGCCTTCCTATTCTCCACATGCCTATTATTCTTGGGTTACTTCTGGCTGCTCCGTTTTTACAATCTAATAGAAAGTAAAGAGGTAGATGAATTATTGAAGGTGGAATTCAGAAGTCCATCCAAGGTTCTCCATCTCCATTTCAGTTGGTGTCTAGCTTGTGCCTATGCATTTTTTACTAATTCCGACTAGAGGTATGTCGGGGCAGTGCTGTCCTTTATCGATGCTTTCTATTGATATAACAATATCAAGATGGCCAAGGAAGACCGATCTATTTCATTAAAGGACCCATTTTTTTTGTGCCACGCGGTTGAGCTTTCCCCATTCCCATCCTGACTTCCATTCTTATTTTTGGATGCTTTTGAAACAGAGTTTGGTTTGGTGTCCGTGGCTCGTTTGGATGTAGATGTTTACATCTGGAGATCCTTCTTTTTGAATTCCCAGTATGCAGTTGTCTTCCTTAGTTTCTCTTCAATTCATGAAGCAGATCGGCGGTCTGGGTTGACTTTCGAAACAAAGTCTTTGTCTCTAGGGGAGGGTTTTACTTTCTATCAACTAAAGCCTGTTGGACAAAGCTATAGTTGAATCTTAATGAGGGAATCTAGTTACATCCTCCTATTCCCCTACCTTTTTCTTGCCCATCCTAAAAAAGCCTTGTCTAAGGCCTTAATAGATGGACTCTAGTTAGTGGGATTCTTGAATCATAAAATCAGCATAATCTAAAAGCTAATGTATATTGAGATTCTCGACTTCTCTGCGGAGTTATGGTTTTCTGTTTATATCCCAGGCCAGTGGATTTTGCCTCCTATTTCAGCTACTATGAATCAAAGAGAAATTTCTAGATATGTTTCCTTGAACTTTTTGTGTTAAATTTTATCCCTTTCACTAATTTTTTCTATTTTTTTCCCAGTAAATTTCTTCGCTGAATTGAATTTAATGATAGAAAGTGTAAGTTCTATATGAAAGAAACTCTGTTGCACCTTGTTCGGCATGTTTTGAGTCGACCCGAAATGCGACAAGGACATACCGAGAAGGAAAAAGGGAATCCATCAACTAGAAATTCATTATACCACGTCAAAGAAATTTCTTCTGCATTTCGTGAACTTAAAAGGCATCTTGTAACGTGAGCAGCGAGAAAAAGTTTGATTATATGTGTTTCACTTCAACTGAAATTTGAAAAGAATGTTTGTAGAATTTAATAGTAATCCATGAATTTATCTGTTCAATTTCTCACATCTCAGTTAAACTATTTGTCAAATGCGAATAGCTTTTGGTGACTTTTTGCATTTTGTTGAAAAGAGTAGTTTTTGTAAGAAATGCCAGTTTAATTTATCACCTGCCTGGTGACCGGGGTGCGAGTCTCAAAGGGTGAGGCTAAAAGAAAAAATGTCACCTGCCACTACAAATTTCCATGCAAGCAGAGAAGGGCTGCCAGAAGTTGGCCTAGTTAATACCTTTGTTTTTTTGAACTGTAATCACATTTGAGTTCAATAATTAATGTAAATCTCTTATGTCTAACAGCAAAAGCATGAAGTGCCACAAAATTTCAGACGATTATTGAGTTCAAAGCTGAGGAGACTTGTCTTGCAAGGCAAACTTGAGAAGGTATGTGATTTTTATCAATCCTTAAGCGGTGTCTCGAACGATAATATTCTTTCCTGCACTACAATGTTCACTGATTTGATAGTGCATGAATCTGTTGCCTGTTGGAGATATGGGCTACTCTTGAACATCACCAAGATATTGGCCAAAGTATCATTCTCTGTATTTTACCATCTGACTGAATTCTTTGGCTTTTTCTTTTTTGTTGGCTGCATTTGTAATGGCTTTTGAATATTTTCACTAACATAAAATGTTGCAATCTCGTTATTTTCTCTATTTGCCAAAAGATGGGTTATAGCATACCATTGAAATAACTAATCTCAATGAAGTTGGTTATCTTTTGGCGTGGCTGATAAGATTTAGTTTCACAACAATCTGAACTTGAAAAATATACCTGTGGTTTCTTAATTTTGTTTCAAATTCTACTGTTTTGGAGCTGAGGTTCATTATATTTTTTGTTTGTACCACACGTATCTAGTAATGAAAATGATAATGTTCAGTTCATCTATAAGTTATGTGATGCTTGTGAATTTGAAGGGCCAGGTGGTCCTCAATTTATTGCACACATCTGTGTTTGGACATGTGCATTGTTTTTGAGGTTGTTTGTTCACCTCACCTCGGAGACTCTCAAGATTTTGTTAAATCATTCATAGTCAGAAACAGGTCACAGTTAGTCTTGATGATGTGTTTGGCGCCTAGTTTGTATCAATCATTGGCGCACGTCATGTTTGTGGACCAATGTGTATAAGCTTGGGCCATCATAACGTGCGTCATTTGACGACTCAGGTGAATCCCATCTGTATGTTGTATCAACTAAGTGAACGAGGGCAGAGAATGCCAACATTACAAGCCTATTATCCTGGTGGAGGGGATTGGTTTCATTGATTTCGTTCTGACGGTTCCCTTTCCTCCCATCTTCATCGTTTCTGCATCAGTAGGGGACACTATGGTACCTTTGGTTATCCGTCTTTCATATATGCCATAACCTGCAGGTCCACAACTGCTACAAGATCAAAGATGCGGCTTTGGGGATGAAAACACCTATGCCAAAACAAAAAGATATCAGACCAAGGCCAGTACAGAATTCTGGATTAGTCATTTCCGCTGAAACAGTGGAAAACGCTGCTATGATTGCTGCCTACAAGATTGCCGAGGCAGACAACAAATCATTCGTGGCAGCAGAAGCAGTTAAAGAGGCTGAAAGGGTCTCAATAATGGCCGAAGATGCAGATTCGGTAATGTTGCTTGCGAAAGAGATTTTTGAGAAATGTGAGTACTGCTGCTATTTAAAAAGTGGCTTATAAGTAGATAATTCAAAATAAGTAACCGTTTCTTTCTCATTTGTTGCATTTTCAGGTTCAAGAGGTGAAACCGTTCGCTTAGCATAGTCATCGAATAAGTTTCATTGACATGCTAAATTCATAGTGTAAATAAATTTAGTTGATAATGGAGACATTCTTCGGTTTTATAGCTGCGTGTGGGAACTATTTGCGCTAGTTCGAAGGAAACAAGCTTAAGCTCTTTGTAGATCTGAGTGCCGGTTTCTTATTTTGCTAGTATTTTATGAACCGTTGCTCATCTACCCTTCTATGACTAACTTTTAGCTTTGAAATATTAGTTGCTTGTTGAAAATACTTGTGAATGGTTACTTTCATATTTTTCGTTTATTTTCTTTTGTATTCATTTTTTAATTTTAGTTAGTATTTAGGAGATGCTATTAAAAGTTTCACCTCTAAAAGCTCTACTTACGACAACTGTGCCAAACAGATCATAAATGTCTTTCCATGCAAAAACTTGATCAAGTGCACGTCGCACAATTTAGCTTGCCTTTTGGATACAACAATTACAATCCGTTTTCAAACAGGGTTCTGGCCGAATAGAGCGCGGAGCCAACGAATTCAGTCGCCAACCTGTAATGGTCTCTTTTCTTACTCAGCACAAATACATCAGAGATCTTTTCCACCGTACCTCGATGGATGGTGGAAAATTTCAAACTCCACTTTCTACCACCGGCTAGCATATGAAATTTTCCTTTGAAGGGTACTGCTATCAGGGCGGCCCTTGCAAGCGGGCTTGCTAAACACGCCCTCTCCCCTCTAACTAATAATGAAGGGAAAAGGCCTTTACCCGGGGATTCAAGTGCCAAGAGAATTAAAAGTTGATCTACGGTAACTACATACTTCGTAATTGCAACGAACTGTGTTAGTTCATGCCACTCTTTCCTCTAATAACTCGATCATGTAACTCTCATGACTTTCAGGTTCAAGCTGCAAACTTTAAAGCATTTCCTAATACTCTTACTATACGAAACAAGTACACGATTCCAAGTATAATTGATGAGAGGTTAAAAACAGTGGCAATTGGGATCCTGGGATTTCATTCCAACCAGACAACTCACGATTCACGAATCTTGACGTTAGCAAGGTGGAGAGCGTAATATGACAAATTCTGTAGTTAAACTTGGAGCGATCAAGCAATTTCAAGAACGGCCAACGAGTACATATCAGAGTACGAACACTCAATAAAAGCACGTTTTTTTGCCTAATACGAACGTCACTTCTTACCATTGACAATTTGCTCATGAAACTCGAACATCAAAAGTTCAGTCACAAAATTCATCTCATTCGTATGAGATTTTAAGTCTCAATTCCAATCATAGATGCAGACAAATATAATAGCATGGTTGTTTCAGACAAGAAACGAGAAAAATTCTTAACAGTTACCAAAAATGCTTATTCTCAAGCACAGCAGAATCATTTCCCGAGCTCAAGCTATAAGAGTACAAGCCCAAGTTCTGATGACCTCAAAACGTGATTTAGTCGATAGTTATATAGATAGTAGTGGAGTTTCCCGTCCCCAGGGCCAAACTTCAGCTCCTTCAAGAAAGTCTCGTTATGCATAACGTCCAAAGCATTGAAAACATCAAAATCCTTCTTCTTGGCAACAATAAGTGCGTCATTCATCAACTGAAGCAATGGAGTCTTTGTGGACACGTTATAATAAGAATACGCAGCCTTTAAAGTGGAGTGGTTTTGACTGCCAAGTATAGAAGACGGGAGGGTGTAAAAACTGCAGAAGTCAGTTATGTCGTGAGTTTCAGGACTTTCGACCAAGTAACTATCCACAACGTTCTCCTGGGGTAGTAGCCAATGCTCCACATCATTCTCGTCAAAGTCTGGAGCAACAATAAACTGCTTCAAGTAATTCCTCAGCAAACGAGTAACTGCAGGAATGTCATGGGGTTCCATCTTTCTGAATCCAGGAGTTGCTGTTTGATCAGGTAACTTATATAGCTTTATTGTTCGGCTCATTGTCATCCTCGCACCAAGCCTAGAAAATCCAACATCGATCAGCTTTTTTGGATTTAAAGATCTATGCCAATATTGACAAGTCGTAATGGGTGTCGGAAGGACAACACCAGCAGTATAAGCGGCCTGCCAGATATTCTCCAAATGAATCCTCCTGGTGACCTCTTTAATCATGACCGGAGCGAGTCTTTTTGATCGAAGTTTCTTGTGGACGCACAAAAAATTAACCTCGGCCATGTCTACAATATCATCTCGAACACGGATTCTTGCAGGGATCCCAGTGATGAAGGCAACCAACTTTTTCGAAGTCTTCACTCTCACTCCAATGTGCCAACTCTTATAATAACCCGGAGGGCGAAGTGCCCACTGAAGAAACTCCTTTGAATAGTTGAACCTGAACATGTTCTCATCATCCTCGACGTAGTTATTTGTGAGGAGATTATACACCTCGACACACATCTCTTCAGATTCCATATCACAAGTTATCCACTCATAAGGAGCAGGAAGATTGTAAGGCTCTTGTTTGACTTCAGTCAGGGGAGTTGGAGACTCAATTGGGCCTTCAGGCAGGCTCGTATCCCCAAGATCCTTGAACTGTCCAACAGGTTGGGTTTCCCAGAACTTGTGCCTCTTAGCAAGCGATAGAGATTCTTGAACCTTCCTTGCCAGGGAATCGATTGATACTTCATTCTCATTAGCGGAAGGTTCATTACCATCAGCCGCATAATTAGAGTTTTCTGTTGGTGCACTTTTATCTGCCATTTCCACAATCAACTAGATCTGATAATTCCTAAGGATGAATCACAAATTATTAAACAGCACACAAAATAGATGCTGCTGCATGCAAAAAAAATAAAAATATAAGAGTAACACAAATATTGAAAAATTTCTCCATTTACCACAGATATATGTGATTGCTGGGAAAGCTTAAAAGTTGCTAAAAAAGTCGAGGTCAGTCAACAATTTATTTTTAACCACGCATTTCATGGGACTCATAACTTTAATCAACGTTTCAATCACATTTCATCAACTTCTATTGAAATCTGCTAAAACTTTTATTAAAAACTTTGTCAAATAACCCCCTAGACCAAATCAGAAGCTTCATGATGTCTGTGATATACTCACGCGTCAATGTGTCATTGTAATCATACAATGAATTTATCCAGAAGGAAGTCTTTGAATCACAACACTTACACATTCATCAAACAAGGATATGCTAGCTAAATTTCTTGCTTCAATAATACACGAAGGGCATGTTTGGTACGACGACGACAATACAATAATTGGAAAGTATAACCAACAAGATTTTAATTTTTTTTCCCTTCGTTAATACTATACAGTGCAAAAACCCGGATCAAGAGAAAGGGAGAAATTCCAAACTTCTATTCCCTGTGAACATAATTTCACATGTAAATATCCAGTGCAAACGTGGATTGATCTTAATCGATGTAAAACAACAGACTAAGAAAGTAAGTACAATCTCACATATTGAACTAAGTTGTGATCTTAAGATTATTCGATCCCACCCACAGTTTTTTTCAGCTGAATCTCACAAGAACCTATTTTAAAAAAAAAAAAAAAAAACCGTTATTCGGTGATTAATTTTAATTGGGTTTCATGTAAACACGCTGAAAGATAATAATAATAATCTGTAGGCTAACTATCAAACAGTAATAAAACCAAAAATCAAGATCTAATCTAACCAATAAAAGTGACAAAACATAAACAGAGCTTTAACTAAAATTTGAAAAGTTGAATCCAGAGAGTGCACCTTTACTGCGACCTCTGATTTTGTTGGGAGAATTATACGCTGGAGATCTATCAGACAATAGATTAATTTGGAAAATAGAAGAGACAGACTTAATTGATTCGTCAATTAGAGAGAGAAAATGTGAGCGTTGGAAATAACGAAGGTATAGGAATGGATGGAATCGATAGTGGACATGGAAGAAATATTAACTTTAGAATCGGCAGCCCTAATGCAATAGTATATTATAATGGGCACTTTTGTCATTTCAGAAGATACAACTGTAAAATTACTCTTTAAGTTACTTTAGTCGCTAACAAAATTTACTGGTGGATGTAAAAAAGGGTTAGATTAGCATTAACAAGAAATTATAATTTGACCTTTCTTCCTTTTTAAGAGTAATAGTCTTTGCCAAGCTAACGTTAATACGTTCAATGTATAAATATTACGGAAGTTATATGCATTAATTGAACAAAAGCTATCTATGACATTCAACACTAATGACAAGTACCATGACAATTTATTTTGTATTAGAATCTTTTCTTCAACTTGACTTAGTGTAATGCTCAATGGAGTATGTATTCCTCAAGCACCAGAAATAATCACACTCTTTTTTTAAATTTTTTTTTCCTCATATTATAAATAATTTTTTTTCGATTTAAATTTTTTTTATTCTTTTTTTTTTATGATAAAACGTAACGTTATAAAGAAAAAAATTTAAAAATATGATAAAACGTAACTTTAAAAAGAAAAATGTAATTATTTATAGTATCAAGAAAGAGAAATTTTAAAAAATATAGTAAAAACAAAACAAATTAAACAAAAGAAAGTTATGAAAACAAAATAAAGAATATACAAATATTATTTAATTAAAATTTAAAAAATAAAATTTTATCATAAAGAAAAAAATTAAAAGGAATTTTAATTCAAAAAAAATATTTATACGATTAGCAAAAAAAAATATTATAAAAAAAGAACAAATGAAAAAAAGGGACCACCCTCTCCGTGGAGAGTCTCTCTAAACACCGAGAGTCTCTCTATAACATGAAGAGTGTTATGGAGAATCATAACATGGTGAAATACTATATATACTTTTTAAATTTGTTTTGTTCTTTGTATAAATAATTTTTTTAATTTTAAATTCTTTTTTCTTCATAATAGAATTTAATTTTTTCAATTTTAATTAAATAATATTTATATATTCTTTATTTATTTTTCACAAAGATAAAACGTAACATTAAAAAGAAAAATGTAAATAATTATAGTATGAAGAAAAAGAAATTTAAAAAAATTAAAAAAATATAGTAAAAACAAAACAAATTAAACAAAAGAAAATTACAAAATTAAATAAAGAATATATATAAATATTATTTAATTACAATTCAAAAATAAAATTTTAACATAAAGAAAAAAATTAAAAGGAATTTTAATTAAGAAAAAGGAACAAAAGAAAAAAAAATCTCTCTGTGTTATGGAGAGTTTTTCCATAATGTGGTCTATTTTTTTTTAAAAATTTTTTTTTTCATTGTATAAATATTATTTTTCGATTTTAAATTCTTTTCTCTTTATGATAAAATTTAATTTTTTAATTTTAATTAAATAATTTTTATATATTCTTTATTTAACTTTCATAATTTTTTTTGTTTAATTCTTTTATTCTTTTTTTTTAAATTTATTTTCCTCATATTATAAATAATTTTTTTCATTTTAAAATTATTTTTTATTCTTTTTGTTTTATCATAAAACGTAATTTTATAAAGAAAAAGAAATTTAAAAATATGATAAAACATAACTTAAAAAAAAGTAAATATTTATAGTATGAAGAAAAATAAATTTATTTTTTTAAAAAAATTATAGTAAAAACAAAGTAAATTAAACAAAAGAAAGTTACGGAAATGAAATAAATATTATTTAATTAAAATTGAAAAAATAAAATTTTATCTTAAAGAAAAAATTAAAGGGAATTTTAATTCAAAAAAAATATTTATAGGATGAGCAAAATAAATAAAAAAAAACAAAAGAAAAAAAAAATGGACCATAACACTCTCCATAACACGAAGAGATGGAGAGTTTTTCTCCATAACATGGTGAGTGTTATGGAATTATTATTTTTAATTTGTTTTGTTCATTGTATAAATATTTTTTTTTCGATTTTAAGTTCTTTTTAATTATTTTCTCTTGAAGATAAAATTCAATTTTTTCCAATTTTAATTAAATAATATTTATATATTCCTTATTTAGTTTTATTAATTTTCTATTGTTTAATTTTATTTTTTTAAAATTTGTTTTAAAATTTCTTTTTCCACATATTATGAATAATTTTTTTCGATTTAAAATTTTTTTAATCTTTTTGTTTTATGATAAAACGCAATTTTATAAAGAAAAAGAATTTTAAAAATATAATAAAACGTAACTTTAAAAAGAAAAATGTAATTATATATAGTATGAAGAAAAAGAAATTTAAATTTTTTAAAAAAAATATAGTAAAAAAAAGCAAATTAAACAAAAGAAAGTTACGAAAATTAAATAAAGAATTATAATATCAATTAATTAAAATTGAAAAAATGAATTTTATGATAAAGAGAAAAGAATTTAAAATCGAAAAAAAATATTTATGATAAAATAATTCTTTTTGTTTTATAATAAATAATACCGAGATAAATGTGATGAACAGTGGAAAACCAGTTTGGGAATAGCGTGTGAAAATGACTATAACAAAAATGAAAAGTACTCCCCCAAGCCCCTCTTTTAAGAGAAAGCAGATAAAGTTAATATAACGATATTAACTATTTCGATGTATGCATAAAGAATATTGAGCCCTTGTTTGAGTCTCATTTTTTTCACAGAAATGAATTTTTGAATGGTGTATTAATGGAACATGTGTGATAAAAAAATAAAGAAAACTTTGAATTTATATATAATATTATTTTATTAAAAATATGTGGTTGAAATAATGTCAAAATACTATTTAAGAATGTATTGAATTTGCATATAGTGAATATAAAGTTTCTTGACATGATAATGTGCATTGAATTATACTGTTATGTATTTTTCAATTTCAGTGAGTAATAATATAACATTTTTATGCAAGTTACGAATAAAATGAAGGAAAAAGAGTGATAGGCAAAGCGCACAAGTTCATATATGTAGCATATTCTTTCTTATAACTAAATAAAATCATAATTTTATTTCGAGTTAAAAAGAAAACGATAAAATAGAAAAAGAATGTCGATATATATTATTTATAATTGTAAGAGATCAACTCGTTATTCTCTCTAGACAATAATGAAAAGTAAAATGAGTCGTGCCTAAAGTTCAAAACTTTCTGTTTAAAAGAGCAGTAAATGAACCAAATGCCAAATGGAAGTATAAATTAGAACAGGACTCGAATCCTTTTACGTTATGTGATTATGAGTTCCTATCTATTTGATACGTGCATTTGAGTACACATGAGACGAAAATCATCGACTTCGACCTTAAAAAGTAGCACAGCTTTCGATTGAATTGAGATAAATATTTAACAATGAATTATGTAAAAATGACACGCGACTTTATCACCCATATGAAGAGTTTATCACTTGAAGACTCAAATTCACCAAATCAAACAGATTGGGAATTCGAAACTACACTTTTTGAAAGTTGAGACTCATAAACATACCACGTAAAAAGTTCAACACCCAACCCTAATTTATGCAGTCATTAATTTTATTCAAACAACGATAAAACTTAATTTACGTTGTTTGTAATTCTTTTATTAGTAAAAAATTAGGTCCCTATTTAGCAGGTATTAAAATCCAAATTTTAATCTAAATCAAAATCATTAATTAATTTTAATTACATATTTTATGAGACATGTTGACCCCAAAAATATTGCCAATAAATACCGGACATACTCACGCATACGTGAGCTTAGTCCAACACGCTAAGATACTTAGACGGCTTCAAATGGACAGATCAAGGGCGTGGGAGCGAATCAAAAGTGCGGGACAAGAACGTTCGAAATCTGGCAAGATGTTTGCATAACGGTTGTACAATAAATACCAATCGATCTTTGTAGAATGCGAATATGAATTCGTATAATAGCGTATTGCAAGATGGTAAATAGGTCGTTGTATAAAGTTGTATAAAGTGTGTTAAGAGAGGAAAGAATGTATAATCTTAGTTCTTGTATTGAATCTTTCATTATCCTTGTGAGAGATGCATGGGGAAGTATTTATAGTGTTACAAGTTATATCGTGGCCTTCGGTTGAGAGTACACGTTGCCTCATCTCGTAAATTTACATGTCAAATTATAGATATCACACTTGACTTCCTAGGCCGCTATACATTTATTAATCGACGACTACTTTGACAAGATAAGACGCTTGCACTCTATGATGGGTGTCCTATCAATCAATTAGGAAGGATCCTTGTGTAAGACCGGATCTCTGGGGATGAGTGCTGCTTAGGGCCTCAGAACCTCGGTGTGATGGGCTTCGGAGCGAAGGGCCTTGGCCAGAAATACCACCTCGGCTTATTCACTTCGGCGTCAGCATTTAAGCCACGTAATGAGTGTTGTTTAAGTATGCTGGTTGGCTTCTGTTGGCCTAAGAGCCTTGGATAGGACGCCACGTGGTTCGGCATAAGTGGGCCATGGGCCCCAGTGGGTCGGCCAAGTGTGTCAACACGTAACAATAGTCCCCTATGTCCAAGTATGATCATTTATGTAATGCGTGGACTTTTATTGTGGTGAAGCGGGTGTGTGGGGTAAAAATTGAAAGAAGTTTTTGTACCCTAAATGATATTCTCCCAAGTCCAAGTATAGATATTTATATTATGATTGGAGTTGAAAGTGTTACCGTGTTCACATTAGTACGTGAAGTTTGTTGTTATGGTGTTGCTACGATTGAAAAGGGTGACGAATAAGTCGAGGCGATGAGTGGATCAAACCTGCTGAGGCTTGTGAAGATGTGGCGGAATTGCGAAGAAGCAAAAGCCGACGCTGTGAGTGGATCGAACCTGCCGAGACTTGTGGAGATGTGGTAAATTGCGGAGAACCAGAAGTCGAGGCAGTGAGTGGATCGAACCTGCTGAGACTTGTGGAGATGTGGTTGAATTGCGGAGAAGCAGAAGCTGAGGCAGTGAGTGGATCGAACCTGATGAGGCTTGTGAAGATGTGGCTGAAGTGGCTGAATTGTGAAGAAGCAGAAGCCGAGGCAGTGAGAGGATTGAACCTGTCGAGGCTTACAAAGATGTGGCTGAAGTACGAAGAAGCAAAAGCCAAGGCGGTGAGTGGATCGACTTGTCGAGGCTTGTGAAGACATGATTGTCTTCGATGTATGTGCCAATGATTTGATGTTCTGCTCATGTTACCAAGAAAAGGCAATCGAGCCGTTTCAACTTCTAAGGCACATATGGCTTCTGCATTAAATGTGCAATGATGGCTACATCTGGGGCTTCTAGAGGAGACGCATTTGGAGAGGTACATGAGAGGCACGTTTGAATCTGAGGCGTAGATTTCAAAAATGATTCAAATTCTACGCCTCGAATTTAACATGGAAATGAAGCTGAGATTTATGGGGTTTCAAGCCAAGATGAATCTAAGGGCAGGGGTTTATCTTGGCTTTATATAAAAGGCCAAAGACTTCCATTTTGAACCCTTTTTCGTCCTTTGATTTCTGCAATTTGTTCTTTGCATTTTCTTAAATTTTCGGCGTTCAGGGTCTTGCTCCAATTTCATATTCCAACGTTTTGCTGTTCTTCGTCTCTTAGTCATTTCTGTAGGTATTCCATTTTTCAATCAGAATTTGTGAATTTGTGTTTATCGATATAAATGTCATCCGGTTTCGGGAGGGATTTAGTTACCATTGCTAGGTCAAGGATTGAGACGATGCTTAGGCAGGATGTCGAGACTGGGCAGATAGCCATGGAGGAGGAACCTGTAGATTATAATGAGGAATGAGGTGCGTCTAGGATACCTTCAAACATGACCTCGAAGAAATGTTGGTCCCTGAGGCCCACGAACGGGCCTGTTATCCGAGGCCCGGACGTGTGGCAGTGAGTGAGTACCTGTTTAAGACAGGTATGTCTCTTTCTCTGCATCTCTTCTTCAAAACAGTGCTAAGAAATTTCATGTTGTCGCCGACCCAAGTTCTACCAAATGGGTGAAGCCAATTGGTCAGCTCGTACTTCCTGTGGAAAGAGGTTTCTATAGGTGAAGATATGTCTCTTCATGTATTCCAGACTCTTTTCCAACCTCAGGTTCTAGGCAAAGATGAGTCTAAGGGGTGGTATTATATTACTCCTTGGAGGGGGCTCACGCACCTTTCGTGGTGGGGCTACCTTATTCCATCAAGGGATGGAAGGAATCGTGGTTCTGGGTGAGGGGAAGGTGAAAGGCAGTGGAGAGGGACAAAGCCCTGGCTTGCACAGTACCGACCCAGTACTACAAAGCTCGTGAGTGTCCCAGCCTGAATTACATTTTGCGAAGTTTCTCAATTTTTTGTTAACTATTGCCACTCGTTCTGCAGATTCTAGTATGAGATTCGAGCTCAGCAAGGAGGAGTTCGAGGTTATAGAGGACATATATAAGCGGCCTCTGAAGTTTCGTCACTTCGACCACCTCATTGACCAAAGTCGATACTTCCTCGATTTCGAATTGATAGCTTCTAACGGTAAGAAGTGCAAATATACATGATCAAATTTTTTATTAAGTTGATTCTTGGTGTTGACCTGCCATATGCTTTGTAGATAAGTTTAAGAGGAGGGAATACCCCATCCCAAATATGACTTCAATTTTGAGGGCTACCTTTACAGTTGGGGCGAGGCCCTTGAAGCCGAGCTCCAGTGGGGCCAAAGAAGTCAGGGGCAAGCTGGAGAGGCTGTCCAAAGATAACACCCCCAAGGGATCTGGCAAAAAGGCCCCCCAAAAATCTAAGAAGGCGAAGGAGCCTCGGGTAAAGAAAAGGTCCCCGAGGATTCCCACAAGAAGAGGAAGCTGGTTCACGTCACCAGTTCTTCCGAAAAGTTTGGGACATCTGTGTCCCATCCCAACAAGGATGCCCCTCCTTAGCCGAAACTGCTAGACTCTGCCATGAAGGCAATAAAAGTTGAAATGGTGATGAAGGCTGAGGCTGAAGAGGCCATGGAAGATGCTGCCAGGAGGGCAGCAGAAGAAGCTGAGGAAGAGGTGGCTAAGCAGAGGCTAGCCAGGACTCAGGGGAAGTCCCCCAATTTTCTGGCGGGGCGTGATGAGGTGTTGGGCCGGCTTTGTTGGATGCACTTCCGGCAGAGGTTTGAGGAGCTACAGAAAGTTTATACAAGTTCTGGACTGACCGGTGGCAGCTGCATGCCTCAAGCTACGATGCGGTGGACCTCACCAGGGCTTTGGTGAGCTAAAGTGTGAGGACTTTGGGTCTCGCATTGAGTGCAGGGAGATGCTTGTCGACTTTCAGATGAGGAATAAGTCCTCGAGGGACAAGTTGGCCTCCACTGAGGAGGAATTGAAGAAAATAAGGGCCGAGGCGGAGGAGATGAAGGCCCTAAAAGTTGAAGATGGTGCCAGGTTGGAGTCTGCCCTGGCCCAAATTGAGGCCTTAAAAAAGGAGGTCTATGAGTTCTAGTGTGAGGTGTCTTCCCTCACAAAAAAGGTGGAGACTTCCAATAATCACCAACGGGTGACAGCCGAGGCCTTGGAGAAGGCTAATAGGGAGTTAGCAGGGGCCCAGGAGGCTTACAAGTTTTTAGATGATCAAATAAAGTGGCATGTCGACGAGCTAAAAAAGGCAAGAGAGGAGGCACAGGTGGCGAGGGAGGAGGCAGTTGAGGATTACATTGCCAACTTCCACCTCACCGAGGAATATCAGCGATTCGATTTGTATTGGTGGAACTTTGCCTATGCTGAGGTGCTGGATAGGGCTGAGGAGCTTCTCCCAAACGTCGACCTGTCACAACTAAAGTCGGAGTTTGTCGATGAAGTTCCTCAGACGCCTGCTGATGAAGCAACCGGTGATGAAGCGACCGAGGACAATGAAGCAGACAGTTTAGAAACCCAAGCCGCAGAGGCGCCTGTTGCCAAGGAACCCCCACCATCCGCCTAAGTGTAGCGTAGTTTACATTCAATTCACTCTGATGTACTGGCCTTGGGCCTACCTTTTGTAATATATTCAATGTCAATGAATGCCATGTTTTGCAATGTTCTATTCGTTTTTCGATATCTAGTGAATGGACCTCACTGAATAATTAAGCTTAAGGATGAGTTAATAATACGGACTTGACATCCTAGCTTCCATCACTTGAAATAATCAAGTTCAAGGATGAGTCAATAATCAAGCTATATGAATGACGACTTAATGGGTTGAACTTAAGTTCCATCACTTGAAATAAATCGCAATGTCCAAGATGTCCAAGTTGAATGAAGTATTCAATGCAAACTGAATAGATTATTAGATTGGACCTTTCAATGAAGTTCGAGATCAGGAGGTGAACTATGGTGGATGGGATGTACGTGTAGAGGCTTCTTCCTTTGGCATTCAGTTTCGCCAAAGGGTGGCATGTGACGTGCGCCTCGAAGTTCGGGCGATATGACCCCAGAGTTGGAAATTAGGACCTCTTCTCCGAAGCACCCATGCTTCCCTACATGGTTGATGGTGCAGTCATGTAGAAGTTTCTTCCTTTGGCGGTCAGCCTCGCCAAAGGGAGACATGTAGCGTGCGCTTCGAAGTTCGGGCAAGGTCACCCATCAGGACCTCTCCTCTGAGGTGCCCATGCTTCCCTACATGGTGGATGGTGTAGCCATGTAGAGGCTTCTTCCTTTGACATTCAACCTCGTCAAAGGGTGGCATGTGACGTGCGCATCGGAGTTTGGGCGAGGTGACCCCAAAGCTGGGAATCAAGACCTCTCCTCCGAGGCGCCTGCGCTTCCCTACATGGTAGATGGTGCAACCATGTAGAGGTTTCGACATTCAGTCTCGCTAAAAGGAAGACATGTGGAGTGAGCCTCGGAATTCAAGGGAGGTGACCCCAGAATTGGGAATTGGAACCTCATCCAGTGATGCAATACATTCATTGATAGTAAATTCTGATATGCTCAATGTTCCATGGACGAGGTTGTGCCCTGCCATCCATGTCATCAATCCTATAGGTGCCGGGTCAGAGTTCTTCTTTGACTTTGTAGGGTCTTTCCCACTTTGGACCCAAGGTACCTTCACCCGGTCCTTTGGAGGAGAGGAAGACTCTTCTAAGGACTAGGCTATTGATTCGGAAGGACCTCTTCTTCACCTTGGAGTTGAAGTATTTAGTCATTTTCCTTTGGTAAGTAGTAAGCCTTAGCTGGGAGTCATATCTTCTTTCATCAATGAAGTCGAGGTCGAACCTCCGTAGCTCGTCATTGGTTATTTTGTTGAAGTGTATGCGACGTGGTGATGGTAAGTCGACCTCGACGGGACTTATGGTCTCGGTGCCATAAGCCATGAGGAAAGGAGTTTCCCATGTGGGAGTTCTGGTGGTAGTTCGGATTGGCCAAAGTATTTGTGGCAGATCATCAACCCAGGCTCCCTTTGATGCGTCCAGTTTCCTTTGAGGACATGCTTGATTGACTTGTTTACAATCCTCAACTTGGCCATTGGCTTGAGGATGATGAGGTATTGAGAAGTACTTTTTGATTCCAAGTTTTTTGCATAGGTTCCTGACCTTCTTGTTGTCGAACTATCTCCCATTGTCTGAAACTATGGAGTGGGAAATTCTGAATCGGCATATGATGTTCTTCTAGAAGAACTTGGAGGTGTTTACTTCTGTGATTTTTGTTAGCGGTTCAGCCTTGACCCACTTTGTGAAGTAATCAATGGCCACAATGGCGAAGTTTGCGCCCCCTCTACCTTTAGGTAGGAGACCTATCAGGTCCACACCCCACTTGGAGAAGGGTCATGGGCTGGAGACGACAGTTAGCTTGTGTGAAGGTTGCCTCTTAAAGGGAGAGAAACGTTGGCACTTGTCACATTTGTGCACGAATTGAAGGGCATCCTTTTTCAAGGTGGACCAATAGTACCCCTGCCTTAGTACCTTTTGTGCCAAAGCTAGTCCTCCTGAGTGGTTGCCGCAAATACCTTCGTAGACTTCTCTTAAAATGTAGGTGGCTTCTTCTCCACCCACCCACGCACCGAAGAAGTGGGGAGGAGAATCTTATCTTGTAGAGCACATCATCGATGAAAAGGAAGTGAGCTGACCTCCTTCTCAGTTTGTAGGCCTCATCTTTGTTAGCAGGCAGGACCTGATCCTTTAAGTAGGTTATGATAGGTTACATCCAGGTGGGAGTTCCTTCGACCCACATCACTTCGGGGGCTTCGGTAGATGGTGTGAAGAGGTGCTCAATCGGTACTACTGCAAGTAGTTCGGAATACTTGCTACTCGCAAGTTTAGAAAGTGCATTGGCATGTGCGTTCTCGATGCGAGGGATTTTTATTATTTCAAATTTTTCAAAAGATGGGAGGAGGTTCATCACCATCTTCAAGTAGGAGGCCATGATTTTATCCCTAGCTGAAAAACTGTCATTCACTTGGCTTACCACCAGCTGGGAGTCACTATTGATACGTAGCCTCCTTACTTGCATTTCTTTGGCTAATTTGAGGCTTGCAAAGAACGCCCCATACTCGGCAGCATTGTTGGTGGCTGTAAATCTGAACCTCACCGCTGAGTTCAGCTTGTGGCCCTCTGGGCTAACCAGGACCACCCTAGTTTCCAAACCTGTGTCTCCAACCGAACTATCCACAAACAAGTTCCACGCGGTGGGCTCAACAAGTTCCATAACCTCTTCCACCTCGAGTATATTAGTGAATTCTGCCACGAAATCAGCTAAGGTTTGGCCCTTGATGGCTGCTCTTGTCTTAAAGACAATGTCAAATTCACTTAATTCCACTGCCCACTTCAGTAGTCTTCCTGAGGCATTTAGCTTCTACAACACTTGCCTTAAGGGAAAATTGGTCAGCATGTGAATGGTGTGTGCCCGGAAGTAGGGCCTCAACTTCCTAGAAGTTGTAATCAAGGCCAAGGCTAGCTTCTTCATATCGGGGTAGCGAGTTTTCGGAGATAGAAGTGTCTTACTGGTGTAATACACGGAGAGTTGGGTGGTTCCTTCCTCTCGGGTTAGGATTGTACTGATGGCCTCATTGGAGATAGCTAGGTATAATTGAAGGATATCATCGGGCTTTCGCTTGGAGAGGAAAGGGGCCTGCCCTAGATGCCTTTTCAGGCCCTGGAAGGCCTCTTCACACTCCTCATTCCATTCGAACTTCTTCTCGGCTTTCAATACTTTGAAGAGCGGGAGGCATTTGTCGGTAGCCTTGGAGACAAAGCAGCTGAGAGCTGCCACTTGTCCGGTTAGGCTTTGGAATTCCGTGGGCTTCTAAGGTGATCTCATCTCGAGCAAGGCATTGATCTTTTCGGGGTTGGCTTCAATTCCTCTTTGATTGACCATGTACCTCAAGAATTGTCCAGATTCAACGCCAAATGCGCACTTGAGGGGGTTGAACTTCATCCTGTACCTTCCGAGGGTTCGAAAAGTGTCATTCAAGTGCGTTACATGGTTGTCTGCCTTCAGACATTTCACGAGCATATCGTCTATGTAGACTTCCACTGTCTTGCTGATGAAGTCCATAAACATTTTGTTGACAAGCCTTTGATATGTGGCCTCGGCGTTTTTCAACCCAAAGGGCATCATTTTGTAACAGTAAAGGCCTCTGTCAGTGGTAAAAGAAATGCTCTCCTCATCTGCTGGGTACATAGGTATTTGATTGTAGCCTGAATAGGCGTCCATGAAACTTAGGAGCTCATACCCGACGGTAGAGTCTACCAATTGAACAATCTCGGAAGTGGAAAGCTGTCTTTGGGGCATGCTTTGTTAAAATTCGTAAAGTCAATACATACCCTCCACTTACCATTGTGCTTCTTGACTAGTACCGGGTTGGAGACCCACTTCGGGTAGATGGCCTCTCTGATGAACCCATTCTTGATTAGCTTCTGCACTTCTTCCTTCAAAGCCTTATACCTTTTTGAGTTGATGGCTCTTCTCTTTTGTTGATGTGGGGCAATCTTAGGATCTATTTTTAGGTAGTGACAGCTGACCTTGGGGTCTATGCCCACCATGTCCTCATGCCTCCAAGCAAAGACGTCAAGGTTCTTACAGAAAAAGTCTTTCAATTTCTCTTTCATGCCATTGCACAAGCCTTTGTCTACTTTCAACACCTTCGTGGGGTCCCGGGGGTCAGCGGGAAGCTTTCGAGCTCCTCAACCAGAGTTGTTTGGGATTTGTGTTCAATCACATGGGGATCGATCTCATTGATCATGGATAATTCTTCCTGCTTGGGAGGTGCGTCGATCATGTCGAATTTTCTCGTTCGGGGAGACCTCGTTTGGGACGTCTATCATGTCCACATCAGTCAAGATGGCATGTACGTCCCAGGGCTCAACCTTTCTGCTGAAGCTCAGGTAGCATTCCCTGGACACTCTTTGGTCACCTCTCACTGTTATCAGCTCATTCTTAGTTAGGAGTTTCATGCATTAGTGGTGGATGGAGGTGACGGCCCCTAACTCCTTCAAAGCCGATCTACCCAAGACTCCATGTAAGCTGACCGACTGTCAACAAAAAGGGAAATTCCATGAAGTTCATTGCGGTTTAGGAGGACTCTCCTATCTCTACTGCCAGTGTTATTTTTCCTCTCGGAGTGATACTATCTCCGGTAAATCCATACAGAGGAGTGGTGGTGGGCGTTAGCTCGTGGTCGAGGATCATTTTGTCAAAGGTGGACTCAAATAGGATGTTAACGAAGTAGCCGTTGTCCACTAGCATTCGCTTGAACCCATTTCGAGTCACAACGGCCCTTACCATAAGTGCATCACAGTAGGGGTAGTGAACTCCTTCGGAGTCTTTTTGGGTGAAGATGATGGGTGGTATTTGATTTCTTCGGGAGCTGTTGTCAACGATATAACTGGTTAGCGGAGGCGTTTAGCCTCTCGAACGTAGTTCTGTTTTGCATTCCGGGTTTCACTGCCCATGTAGGGGCCTCCAAATATGGTATCAACCTCGTGAATAGGGGCCTCTTCTTGTGCGTGGCGATTTTTACGATGCTTGTGTCCTTCCCTGGTCCCCCCGCGTCATGTTCCCTTCGTGGGGGATACATCCCGCTGACGGGGAGCGACCTCTTCACGTGTAGGTCCTAGTCGTTCCAACGTGGGGGTCTGTTCGCCTGTGGCGACCTATTCCTCCTGTCTTGAGGGTGTTCCCGTCGATTGCGGTATGCGTACTCTCGACACTCGGAGGTGTCATGACCATAGGAGCGGTGGTATGCACAATAATCGGGGGATTCTGATTAGGCCTATTCCTAGGCCTCGAACCACGTCCCCGGCCTCTTCCTCTGCGAGGGGACCGTTGTGAGGTTCCTGCTTGTGGGTCGGTGGTAGTTGGGTTGACATCTTCATATGCCAAAGTTGGGACTACGTTCAAAGTGATTGTGGCAAGTGCTTGCCTTGAATTTCCATTACCAGGTGGGTTCATCTAATAGTCCATCAAGTGGGAGGTCGGTCCCTTGGCACGCTGTCTTTGTTGAGGTGGGAGGCCTCTACTGGCCCGATTTCGGTGTTCAATCAATTCCTCATTGATTATCTCCCGCCTCATCATTTCCAACAAGGCGTTATAAGTGGTGGGATCTTGGTTTTACACATCCCTCCAAAACAGAGTGTTCATATTCAGACCTCCTCTTAGGGCTGATAAAGCCTCACGATCAGTGACTTGCACACAATATGTCATTTCATCAGTAAAGCTTGATAAAAAGCCTTTTAGGGATTCTCCATGTGTCTGCCTCATGTCTTGAAGGTGCTGGATAGGGGTCTCTCCCTCTTTGCTCATCGTGAACCTTTTTTTATGAAAGTGTTCTTGAATTCTGGCCAACTCCTTATGTTCCCATGTGGCAACTGACTATACTAGATTTCAGCCGCTCCACTAAGTGTCAAATGGAAAGCCCTACACTTTACAGCTGGGGTAGCACATCTAAGGCTCATATGAGTTTTATAAGCGCTTAGGTGTTTCTCCGGGTCGCCTCTCCCGTCGTACTTTGATATTTTGGGCATCGCATAGTGGCTCGGAACCTGGACATTTCTTAGTTCTCTTGAAAATGGCAGATTTTCATCGTCGTCGTCCAAGTCAGAGGATCTCTGCTGCTCATCAGAGTCATTGTTCTCTTCAGCCTCGTACCTGGGTGGCTGATGAGAGGGTCCAATTTGGGTCCTAGCCACTTCTTCTCTTCTTTGGAGCCTGTTTCTAGGCGGAGCAGCATGGGGGGCATTTTCATGCCTTTTCTCCGGCTGATGAGTCATTGGAGATGGGAGGACGTGGCTTAGTCTGGGGCTCGCGTGGCTGTTGCTTTCGCATGCGCCTTCGTTCTGGCGGGCCGATTCTGTCAAATACGCTGTTAGACCTCCTAAGTCTTTGCTCTGTCTCATATGTTGGTGGAAAGTTGTCTTGGTTATATCAGGCCTCAGTGGATCGACCTGCAGCATAATTGGAGGAAATATCAACTTTCGCTTCTCTCTCCATGGGGCTTATGCCTCGGCTGTATTCTGGTGATACAGCCCTTTGGCTTTGGACTTTCTCATCTTGTTGGTAATGTCCTTGGGTTGCATAGGAAAGCCTCCCTGACTTTATATTTGGGCCATGAGGGAGCTCATGACTATGTTTTGGCTAGCAATGTCCCTCATATTTGCGGCCATGGTGAGCATCTCTCTCGATAACTGAGCGGCCATTCGCATGCCACCTCTTCTGTGGTGGTGATGAGGTCGATGCCGAGCTGCCTGCCGGTGGGGGCATTCCCACATTTTCCCTTAACCTCCTAAGGGGTACATCTTCATCCGAACTCATTTCTTGGTGTTTCAACTTCAAATTGTTGCAAGTTATGGGGCTTCTGCTTGTTTTTTTTTTCTAAGAACAAATTCTTTTTCAAGGGGGATGCCCGAATATTCTTCTTTTAGTAAGCTTTTCCACACGATTACTCGTGGTTATGGTATGATTTTCCATAGACGGCACCAACCTGTTGACTCCAAAAATGTTGCCAACGGATACCAGACACACCCGCGTACACATGAACCTAGTCCAACATGCTAAGACACGTAGACGGTCTCAAATGGACATATCAATGGCGTGGGAGCGACTCAAAAAACGAGGGACGAGAACGTTCGAAATCCGGCGAGATATTTGCATAACGATTGTACAATAATTATCAATCAATCTTTGTAGAATGCGAATATGAATTCGTATAGCAGCGTATTGCAAGACGGTAAACAGGTCGTTGTATAAAGTCTATTAAGAGAGCAAAGAATGTATAATCTTAGTTCTTGTATTGAATCTTTCATTATTCTTGTGAGAGATGCATGTAGAAGTATTTATAGTATTACAAGTTAGATCGTGACCCTCGACTGGGAGTACATATGACCTCCTCTCGTAAATTTACATGTCAAATTATAGAGATCACACTTGACTTCCTAGCCTGCTATACATTTATTAATCGACGACGGAACATGTCAAATTATAGATATCACACTTGACTTCCTAGCATGCTACACATTATTAATCGGCGGCTAGTTTGACAAGATAAGACGCTTGCATTCTATGATGGGTGTCCCATCAATCAATCAGGAAGGATCATTGTGTAAGACCAAATATCTAGGGAAGAGTGTTGCCTAGGGCCTCGGGATCTCGGTGTGATGGGCTTCGAAGCGAAGGGCCTCGACCAGAAATACCACCTCGGCCTATTCACTTCGACGTCAACATTTGGACCACATCATAGGTGTTGTTTAAGTATGCTGGTCGACTTCTATGGGCTTAGGAGTCTCGGCTAGGACGCCACGTGGTTTAGCATAAGTGGGCCATGGGCCCTAGTGGGTTGGCCAAGTGTGTCAACGTGTAATACGACCAACTTTTCAACCACACATTTCATCAATTTTCATCAAAATCTACTAAAAATCTTATTTTCATTTCCATCAAGTAGAGGCTAAAAGTCTAAAGACATTTGGTCTCAAACACAAAAGATATATAAAATTGTTCTGTCCATTTCTATCGCGAGACTCCTCTCCACCCAAGCATTAATCCTTTGCTAATCTTAACAAGACTTCAAATTCATCAAAAAATTGTACAAAGAATCATACAACTTACAAGACAGTCCATGATACCTTAATAGGAAGTTAAAACAGTAATGGTATAAAAACCTAAACATGACTGGATCCAAAGCAAGTCAATTTAAATTGTATTGATAGTAAGCAAGAAAGATTGAACTTGGGCCTGCAACTTCTTGATCTCTTAGTGTCGTTTTTGCAAGGTTCCTATTTGTACTCATTAATTTCCATCAAGTAGCTTTCCGTACTACACAATCCCCCACGTGCCAGCAACGTATACCGTTCCAAAATTTACAGTACGGGGGAATGAGTGAGAAGAACCGGCTAAGAGTGTGCCTAATAATTCACCCTCTCGTCTTTAAAGTTCAAGCTCTCTAAACCTTTGAGGGTAGAGTCAAAATTATTTATATTAGAGGCGGTGTGATTGTGATCTGATGAGATGACTGGTGAAATTCTTTGAGCAGCACTGGATATTTTGCGGAGTCCTCCTGGGCTTGCTTCTTTCTGTAAAGGGTCATAATCATTCCCTGTGAGCACTGGATCACGGCTAGTGGATACAACAGGTCGCCTTGAAGATCCACTTGACCGGAAAATATTAGAAGCCGGTAACTGCACAAAGCATTACCAGAGGTAAGTGGAAGTACAAAATGGGACACAACAAAAGGGACTGGTATATGTAACTGTGCCACCAGGAGTAGTTATAATACTGCATACATGACAGTGCATAAAAAAGGGGACTTGTATAATATTTAGCCTCTCCAGGAAAAATTTCACATATTACCACAACAATTCTAAACAGCAAAGAGCAAGCGTTGCATTTCCTTCTTCACCACCTGCAAAACATTACAAGATTATTCTCAGTAGTGGGATGGGTAGAGAAGCAGCTTATCAGCGAAGTTATAATTAAAGAGAAGATGTAGAAGTGAAAGTAAACAATCGCATATAGCTAATTGGTACACTGAGCAGCTCAATCATAGAGAAACCCAAGTCATAGGACTCATAATTTAAGACCAGGAAATAAGTAAAATGCACAAGACCAACCTGATTGCCTATCAATATTGGCACGAGGCATCCCTGAACTTGTTCCACCAGTTGCTCCCTGTCCCAAAAATCATTATGCTATTTGTATCTCATATGTATCAAAAGGTGCGCGTAAAACTGATGTTACTTACAAGGGCACGAGATGGAGGATTGGCAAGCTGTGACTGCTGATACTTCAAAATCGTCCAGTCAAATACATAGTCAAATTGAAAACCTGCAGGGTGGGAGGAGAAGGTGAGGCAAAACAAGGAAAGCATGACGACAGGTAAAAAAGAGAGCATTCAAATAAGACAGTATTGATATTGTAATGCATGACGAGAAAATGTCGCAAAACCTTCACGAATAAAAAGGTCATGGAAAATTTTCTTCAGGTAAGCATAGTCTGGTTTATCTTCAAACCTAAGTGATCTGCAGTAGTGGAAGTAAGAAGCAAACTCCGTAGGATATCCCCGACATAAAGCCTGTAGGAATGTAAGCTTGAATATCAGTTGTCTGACATAGAAAATGTACTATTGTCCAGAAGACGTGTGAAAATCTATTACCTCAACAGAGGTTGAAACTTTCTTTTCACTGATTTTTTCGTACTTCTGTTTCTTATTTCCTGCTTTCAGCCCCTGCCAGGGGAGACTACATATTTTGGAGATAATAAGTAAATATATAGTGGGATCACTAAAACGTGGTCCGGGTTGTAATTTGACATGGATAGATACCTTCCTCTCAAGAAGTACAAGAGAACATATCCAAGTGAATCTAAATCATCCCTCCGACTTTGTTCTGTGAAGGCCAGACAACAGAACCAATAATAAAATCAATACGTAACTAGATAGCAGTCATATAATGTCATAATAGAAAGCAGATTGATACAACTTGTGAGCTTACCTATGCCGAGGTGAGTATTCATGCTAGCATATCTAGCTGTTCCAGTCAAGTTTTTATTTTCTCTGCATTTAAATGTACTATTTTGATGAACAAAGTTAATTTAGTATATAAATCAAGTGAATATTGCACGATAAAAATTTATTGAATACGAGGTAATGCACACAGAACCCCCACGTGAAAATAACAAAAGGCAAGTATCTCCTTTCCATATTACACTTCAGGAAGATAGAAACAGTATATTAGGGAAGGTAGCTCACAAGCATCTAACTATGTTTGATATCCTTTGTTATTTCTTGAATTACGAGCATAAAACCATAAAAATTCTAGAGAACTTGCCTATATGGAATGTGTTGATGAGTTAAGAAGTCCCTATACTTCTTTGCAAGTCCGAAATCAATAATATATACCTGTACATAATTGATAGAGTCATGGCAAGTAAATAAACACTTGAGATAGATAGTGAGGAAAACTTAAATCAAACCTGGTTTGCACGCCTTCCTAAGCCCATAAGAAAGTTATCAGGCTTAATATCCCGATGCAGGAAAGATTTTGAATGAACAAACTCAACCCGGTTAATCTGAGAACAAAAGAAATCAATGTCAGGAAAAGAAATTGAAGAGTTAACTTCTTGAATTCCAACCAGTGACAAGCAAACAAACTATCCTACTATCTGATCTGCAAGCATGAGAACAGTCTTTAGAGACAGTTTCCGACTGCAGAAGTTGAACAAATCTTCAAGACTAGGTCCCAATAAATCCATCACGAGGACATTATATTCTCCCTCAACTCCAAACCATCTAACATTCGGAATTCCAGCTACCAAAATGGAAAAGAATTCCCCCACGTGCCAGCAACGTATACCGTTCCAAAATTTACAGTACGGGGGAATGAGTGAGAAGAACCGGCTAAGAGTGTGCCTAATAATTCACCCTCTCGTCTTTAAAGTTCAAGCTCTCTAAACCTTTGAGGGTAGAGTCAAAATTATTTATATTAGAGGCGGTGTGATTGTGATCTGATGAGATGACTGGTGAAATTCTTTGAGCAGCACTGGATATTTTGCGGAGTCCTCCTGGGCTTGCTTCTTTCTGTAAAGGGTCATAATCATTCCCTGTGAGCACTGGATCACGGCTAGTGGATACAACAGGTCGCCTTGAAGATCCACTTGACCGGAAAATATTAGAAGCCGGTAACTGCACAAAGCATTACCAGAGGTAAGTGGAAGTACAAAATGGGACACAACAAAAGGGACTGGTATATGTAACTGTGCCACCAGGAGTAGTTATAATACTGCATACATGACAGTGCATAAAAAAGGGGACTTGTATAATATTTAGCCTCTCCAGGAAAAATTTCACATATTACCACAACAATTCTAAACAGCAAAGAGCAAAAAGTAGAAGTGAAAGTAAACAATCGCACATAGCTAATTGGTACAATGAACGGCAAGACGCACAGAGAAACCCAAGAACTGCACTTGGAATTTAAGATTAGAAAATAGATAAATGCACAAGACCAACCTGATTGCCTATCAATATTGGCACGAGGCATCCCTGAACTTGTTCCACCAGTTGCTCCCTGTCCCAAAAATCATTATGCTATTTGTATCTCATATGTATCAAAAGGTGCGCGTAAAACTGATGTTACTTACAAGGGCACGAGATGGAGGATTGGCAAGCTGTGACTGCTGATACTTCAAAATCGTCCAGTCAAATACATAGTCAAATTGAAAACCTGCAGGGTGGGAGGAGAAGGTGAGGCAAAACAAGGAAAGCATGACGACAGGTAAAAAAGAGAGCATTCAAATAAGACAGTATTGATATTGTAATGCATGACGAGAAAATGTCGCAAAACCTTCACGAATAAAAAGGTCATGGAAAATTTTCTTCAGGTAAGCATAGTCTGGTTTATCTTCAAACCTAAGTGATCTGCAGTAGTGGAAGTAAGAAGCAAACTCCGTAGGATATCCCCGACATAAAGCCTGTAGGAATGTAAGCTTGAATATCAGTTGTCTGACATAGAAAATGTACTATTGTCCAGAAGACGTGTGAAAATCTATTACCTCAACAGAGGTTGAAACTTTCTTTTCACTGATTTTTTCGTACTTCTGTTTCTTATTTCCTGCTTTCAGCCCCTGCCAGGGGAGACTACATATTTTGGAGATAATAAGTAAATATATAGTGGGATCACTAAAACGTGGTCCGGGTTGTAATTTGACATGGATAGATACCTTCCTCTCAAGAAGTACAAGAGAACATATCCAAGTGAATCTAAATCATCCCTCCGACTTTGTTCTGTGAAGGCCAGACAACAGAACCAATAATAAAATCAATACGTAACTAGATAGCAGTCATAGAATGTCATAATAGAAAGCAGATTGATACAACTTGTGAGCTTACCTATGCCGAGGTGAGTATTCATGCTAGCATATCTAGCTGTTCCAGTCAAGTTTTTATTTTCTCTGCATTTAAATGTATTATTTTGATGAGCAAAGTTAATTTAGTATATAAATCAAGTGAATATTGCACGATAAAAATTTATTGAATACGAGGTAATGCACACAGAATCCCCACGTGAAAATAACAAAAGGCAAGTATCTCCTTTCCATATTACACTTCAGGAAGATAGAAACAGTATATTAGGGAAGGTAGCTCACAAGCATCTAACTATGTTTGATATCCTTTGTTATTTCTTGAATTACGAGCATAAAACCATAAAAATTCTAGAGAACTTGCCTATATGGAATGTGTTGATGAGTTAAGAAGTCCCTATACTTCTTTGCAAGTCCGAAATCAATAATATATACCTGTACATAATTGATAGAGTCATGGCAAGTAAATAAACACTTAAGAGATAGATAGTGAGGAAAACTTAAATCAAACCTGGTTTGCACGCCTTCCTAAGCCCATAAGAAAGTTATCAGGCTTAATATCCCGATGCAGGAAAGATTTTGAATGAACAAACTCAACCCGGTTAATCTGAGAACAAAAGAAATCAATGTCAGGAAAAGAAATTGAAGAGTTAACTTCTTGAATTCCAACCAGTGACAAGCAAACAAACTATCCTACCATCTGATCTGCAAGCATGAGAACAGTCTTTAGAGACAGTTTCCGACTGCAGAAGTTGAACAAATCTTCAAGACTAGGTCCCAATAAATCCATCACGAGGACATTATATTCTCCCTCAACTCCAAACCATCTAACATTCGGAATTCCAGCTACCAAAATGGAAAAGAATAGCTGACTGATAAGGACATCAAAGTAATAACCATTAAATAGTAAAATGAAAAACATGAGAAGGAATTGGAGAAATGAAACAGATCATTACTTCCTTCTTGTAATAATTTGTACAACTTAGACTCATAGAGTAGCTGGGGATGCTTTGTCTTGACATTTTCCTGAATGTAAACAGCAAGAGCAATTGGTGACAGTCAAAAGCAGAACAGTAGTTGTTATGCAAATCCACATCCAAACAAATACACACACATACACAAAAACCAACATAAAGAGCCTGGCAAGATTTCAGCATCTTGGAGTCGAATGTCTTCCTTAAATCAGTACCCAATTCATGTTATAGACGGGGTCATTGTAATAATGCAACTGAATGAACATCACACTGAGAAGTACAAGTCATTTCAAACACTTCTGAGACCAAATTCCACATTTTGTAAGACACAAATGTCAACATGATTCGTGGGAAAAACTTTACATTTGCAATCTCAAACTTTCTAATTGCCACCATTATTTCCAATTTTAACTCAGCATGATGGTAGTGTCCAAAGGCCCTTACTTAAGAAGACATGAATAACTATAGTTAATAAATAGCATTAGCAGAAGACAGACCAGTTGCATTTCCTTCTTCACCACCTGCAAAACATTACAAGATTATTCTCAGTAGTGGGATGGGTAGAGAAGCAGCTGATCAGCAAAATTATAGTTAAAGAGAAGATGTAGAAGTGAAAGTAAACAATCGCATATAGCTAATTGGTACACTGAGCAGCTCAATCATAGAGAAACCCAAGTCATAGGACTCATAATTTAAGACCAGGAAATAAGTAAAATGCACAAGACCAACCTGATTGCCTATCAATATTGGCACGAGGCATCCCTGAACTTGTTCCACCAGTTGCTCCCTGTCCCAAAAATCATTATGCTATTTGTATCTCATATGTATCAAAAGGTGCGCGTAAAACTGATGTTACTTACAAGGGCACGAGATGGAGGATTGGCAAGCTGTGACTGCTGATACTTCAAAATCGTCCAGTCAAATACATAGTCAAATTGAAAACCTGCAGGGTGGGAGGAGAAGGTGAGGCAAAACAAGGAAAGCATGACGACAGGTAAAAAAGAGAGCATTCAAATAAGACAGTATTGATATTGTAATGCATGACGAGAAAATGTCGCAAAACCTTCACGAATAAAAAGGTCATGGAAAATTTTCTTCAGGTAAGCATAGTCTGGTTTATCTTCAAACCTAAGTGATCTGCAGTAGTGGAAGTAAGAAGCAAACTCCGTAGGATATCCCCGACATAAAGCCTGTAGGAATGTAAGCTTGAATATCAGTTGTCTGACATAGAAAATGTACTATTGTCCAGAAGACGTGTGAAAATCTATTACCTCAACAGAGGTTGAAACTTTCTTTTCACTGATTTTTTCGTACTTCTGTTTCTTATTTCCTGCTTTCAGCCCCTGCCAGGGGAGACTACATATTTTGGAGATAATAAGTAAATATATAGTGGGATCACTAAAACATGGTCCGGGTTGTAATTTGACATGGATAGATACCTTCCTCTCAAGAAGTACAAGAGAACATATCCAAGTGAATCTAAATCATCCCTCCGACTTTGTTCTGTGAAGGCCAGACAACAGAACCAATAATAAAATCAATACGTAACTAGATAGCAGTCATATAATGTCATAATAGAAAGCAGATTGATACAACTTGTGAGCTTACCTATGCCGAGGTGAGTATTCATGCTAGCATATCTAGCTGTTCCAGTCAAGTTTTTATTTTCTCTGCATTTAAATGTATTATTTTGATGAGCAAAGTTAATTTAGTATATAAATCAAGTGAATATTGCACGATAAAAATTTATTGAATACGAGGTAATGCACACAGAATCCCCACGTGAAAATAACAAAAGGCAAGTATCTCCTTTCCATATTACACTTCAGGAAGATAGAAACAGTATATTAGGGAAGGTAGCTCACAAGCATCTAACTATGTTTGATATCCTTTGTTATTTCTTGAATTACGAGCATAAAACCATAAAAATTCTAGAGAACTTGCCTATATGGAATGTGTTGATGAGTTAAGAAGTCCCTATACTTCTTTGCAAGTCCGAAATCAATAATATATACCTGTACATAATTGATAGAGTCATGGCAAGTAAATAAACACTTAAGAGATAGATAGTGAGGAAAACTTAAATCAAACCTGGTTTGCACGCCTTCCTAAGCCCATAAGAAAGTTATCAGGCTTAATATCCCGATGCAGGAAAGATTTTGAATGAACAAACTCAACCCGGTTAATCTGAGAACAAAAGAAATCAATGTCAGGAAAAGAAATTGAAGAGTTAACTTCTTGAATTCCAACCAGTGACAAGCAAACAAACTATCCTACCATCTGATCTGCAAGCATGAGAACAGTCTTTAGAGACAGTTTCCGACTGCAGAAGTTGAACAAATCTTCAAGACTAGGTCCCAACAAATCCATCACGAGGACATTATATTCTCCCTCAACTCCAAACCATCTAACATTCGGAATTCCAGCTACCAAAATGGAAAAGAATAGCTGACTGATAAGGACATCAAAGTAATAACCATTAAATAGTAAAATGAAAAACATGAGAAGGAATTGGAGAAATGAAACAGATCATTACTTCCTTCTTGTAATAATTTGTACAACTTAGACTCATAGAGTAGCTGGGGATGCTTTGTCTTGACATTTTCCTGAATGTAAACAGCAAGAGCAATTGGTGACAGTCAAAAGCAGAACAGTAGTTGTTATGCAAATCCACATCCAAACAAATACACACACATACACAAAAACCAATATAAAGAGCCTGGCAAGAGTTCAGCGTCTTGGAGTCGAATGTCTTCCTTAAATCAGTACCCAATTCATGTTATAGACGGGGTCATTGTAATAATGCAACTGAATGAACATCACACTGAGAAGTACAAGTCATTTCAAACACTTCTGAGACCAAATTCCACATTTTGTAAGACACAAATGTCAACATGATTCGTGGGAAAAACTTTACATTTGCAATCTCAAACTTTCTAATTGCCACCATTATTTCCAATTTTAACTCAGCATGATGGTAGTGTCCAAAGGCCCTTACTTAAGAAGACATGAATAACTATAGTTAATGCAAAAAGCTACATGTGAATTGCAGGAGAGATACGTGGAGAAATGCTTCACAGAAAAGTGGAGAAGGAAAAGGAAATAAGCTTCCTGTTAACCGACAAAAAATTTTCTAAAACAACAAACTTTTCTCCAATTTCCTTATTGGAGGCATTCAAATGACACCTAAATCACATATATATGACGAGTAAACGACAAGAACAAACTTCTATCAAACACACTCAGCTTCCTTTATGGCTTGTCGTACTCTAGACAATCTCAACTCCAAACAAACCCATAGTTGGTATCGAACTGTGCTTTAGCAATGTACTGACTAGGGATAACTACGCCACAACAATATGGGAATCTAATCAGCACTTATTATTATTACCCAAGCAGAACTTCAAAAGCTTACAAGAACAGCTTTCTGCCTCCACAGCCTGCTTTTAAGTACCTAAACTAAGATGAATCAGCCAAGTGACATAACATATATAATGACAGCAAAAGCTTCATATGTAAATCATATATATGGAAAAGAACCTTCAATTGCATGGTATGAAACTGCATCCAGTCTACCCTACAAAAACTTCACACGAATGGGACTTCAACAGGTTCCTTTTACAAATATATTTCTATTCTCCCACTCTTGATCTATATAAATTAAGAAATAAGATTACATATCACCGTATAATTTTCTTTCAACCTATTTTTTAATTAGTATAAACAATAAACATCACTATCAAACTCATCAAGGAATAGGTCTAAATCACTAACACCATTACACAGCTACGGAAACATAATCGAAATGAGAGTCGATCATCCTTAATTTCTTAATTATATCTCTACAGTAAGTCGAATTCAAAGAAATGCACAATTAGTAAATAGTTCAGAGAAACAAAATATTCCCAAATTTAAGGAAATAAAATTTTCACAAAAACCTATTTATTTCAATTTGCTCACCAGCTTAATGGCAACCTGTTCATTTGTCTGTATATTAGTACCTGCCACATACAAAACAAATTAAAAAAATTACGCCAATTATATCAAACAAACTGAATAATCAAAGACCATAATCACAAAAAGAAAAGAAACAGACCTAGATAGATTTCTCCGAACGAGCCGCTGCCAATTTTTCGTCCGAGCTGGAATTTATTCCCCACACGCGGTTCCATCCAATTTAACAATAAAAAATCACTCTAGATTTTAAGAGGTTTTCCCTAGTTTGTTCTTTTCCAGAAAAATAAAAATAAAAGAAAAAGGGATTTGCTTAATAAGCCAGGTTGGTAAAATAATCTATATCCATACTTTTTGTTCAACTTGTCTGGAAAGACATAGCACGTTTCGTACTGAAATCGACCTATTTCACGAGAATTTTAGTTGTATGACTGCCATTTTTTTTAACTCAGTGTTCAGTTTATATCATTTTTGCTCAGACAAGTTATCTATGATTTTCGAATATTTATTTTGCAGTGAAGTCCAAATCCCATGATCGAAACAGCAGATTGTCATTTTAAACATCTGATGGCCAATTTTCAAATTAGATGAATTTGCGTGATTAGTTAATAATAGTCAATTTACACTTTTTAAAGTATTTGTTTACCAATCTATCATTAGTCATAATATGGGCCTCCAACGAAAGCCCTTTGCTAGCTCTCAACCCTATTATCAATGAGAACTTGTATAATGAAAATCGTTTTAGCTTACTACCAATCGAAAACAAAATTTCATTTTATTTTTTGGTTACAATCATTCTCACTGCAAGTGTGGACTAGTTGTGCTGAAAAAGGTATACACTTCATTCGATATAGTTGTTCGAAACAAGATTCAATTAGCATTTCTTGATGAACATCATCTAACATCTCCCGAACATGGTTAAGTTTTTTAAGGGAAAACTATTGCGAAGGCCTGCCTTTAATTATATTTTCAATGGGAATCACATACCCAAATGAGTGTTCCGTTTTTGTAAATGATCATGTCAAGTTATCAATGAACAAATATGAAGATTTTACAGCAGTGCTAAGTTATACTTAGTACAATCCATTTTAAAAAAAGATAAATGGCAATATGACATTTTTAGAATTACATAAACGATAAGGTGCCATTTTTAGAATTCGATAAACTCCAGAGTGCCATTTTAAGAAATAGATGAACTTTATCGGTGCCTTATAAGAAAATTTAGCAAATAACATATCAAATACCACAATCTCAACTAATTAAGTGCATTTACATAATGGAAAAACATGCAAAATACTACCATATTTTCGATACCCAAAAAAAAAAAAAATCACGATCATTTTCCATTTGATGCAAACCTTTTGAATCCAACATATCTCAATATTATAGGAAGAAAAATAGTTCATAAACAAATACTACAAATAAAGTGTTCGTCAAAGAATAGTTAAGAGTAAGTGTTTCGTGAAACTTTTAGAAAATGAATGAGCTCAAAATCTCATAGCTTATCTCTCCGCATAATCAACAAAGTCCAAAACCTTCAAGAAGACACTTGATTAATAATACAAAATAATGTCAATTTGTTAAGTCTTCAACGATATCACGAAATATCCATTTCATTATACTAACATTTCAACTAACATGATATTTAAATGTTTTCTGGAAGCAAAATACTTAAAGATCTAATTTTCGATAGCAATTTTTACTAAATTGACATCTTTTCTTTCAATTATCAACTTCATAAGAATTAGAATCCAAAAGAATTATAGCTTGCTGGAAAAAAGGTTTTTTTAATCAAAAGCAAAAACCCACTCAAACAATAAGTGGAACATAACGAGAGAGGACAATTGTGATATTTCATTATCTGGAAAAAACAATACTTTGCTTTTTACAATTTGCCACGACTTCATCACATAATTTCTTTATTGGAGCAAGTCTAAGTTTCGTGAAAAAGCATAATCGTGTGCCGCTTCAAACAAGAATAAGTCATATTTAGACAACAAAAGCAGACATAAATCAAATTTGAAATCACTTACGGAGCTATTTTCCACAAGTTGCTTATAAGACCATCTTTATTTGTTCAATATCTCACCCTCAGAATACTCCACTATATATTTTTTCCCAGTTTGCTTATAAGTCTACATCACGAAGAATAAAATAAAGAAAAAACATGTTTTTAAATTTTTAATTACAAGAAGAAAGCTGAATTTATAAGTAACTTTTCGTGTAATTCAAAGTAACAATAAAAAAGAGAAAATTGAATCCCAAAATTTAATATGATAGTGGTAGTATTGATATACTTATTGACAAACTAGTCATTTCTCCATTCTTTTATAACATTTTATTATTTTAAACAAATTTAAATGGCGCATACATATTTTAAACCATAGAATGTCATTTTTCTGCTTAAATCTGTTATGTAACAATATGGGCTGCCTTTTGTTTGTTATTGAGGCTATAATTTATAGTATTTGGTTTTGACAATTAATGGAGTAATATATATATTTTTTGTTAAATTACAGATATGGACTTTGATGCAATGATTGTCATTTGTTTTTTGTTGAATTTGAAAAGAGTGATCAATGTAGATGGATTTGGAAATAGATAGGAAATCATGAAGACATCGCAACAAATATTTTTGTACAAAAAACTATCTAATATACAGAGTTGTATGACGAAGTCCGAAAAGTAGTTAGAGTTGATCTCGTTATGTATGATATCAAGATGAAATTTCTTGTTTCCGACATGACAAAATTATCAGTTCCACCAATGAAAATTACTTGTGATATGGATGTTAGTTGGTTTCTTTCTTTGCATGACAAAGTTCCAATTTATGTAACCGTTGTGGAAAAAGGTTATGTTGATCAACAAGACACGGAGCTTGATATAGTAAATGTTTAGGAGAATCATGAATACAGTTCAAACGTTGTTGTGGATAATGCGGAAGACATGGATGAATTGAATATGCAAAAAGATAAGTCCAATGGCAATCATATGCGATCGTTGTCTCCATTTAATCAAATTTGTGAAAACGATTGTGCAAACTTTACAAGTGATAATAATTGGGATGGGGGTGGAAGTAGTGCATGGCAACTACATAGATGATTCTCATGTGATAAATGAAGATAACGTTATTCATAGTACACCTTTTACATTGGTAGATGATATTATTGGCATTTCACAAGTTGTTGCTTGTCCGAATCCTTGTGGAACATCAGTTAAGATTCCTGATGTCGATGATGTGCACGTTAACCAAATATTTCACGACAAGAAGGATCTCCAAGCATCACTACAAATGCTTGTTGTAAGAAACTTTTTTTTTTGAATTTAAGGTCACTAAATCAAATAAGAGTACATATGTAGTAGTTTGTGTTGAGAAAATTTGCAAATGGTGTTTGCGGGGTAGCACGATTGAATGAAAGTAACAAATTTGAAATTCGAAAGTATTCACATTATCATAATTGTTCATTGGATGTTTGCCACAAAGATCATATTGATGGAGGTAGTTGTAGTTTGATTATTGATGAAGGTAGTTGTACTAATATTGCTAGTACCACACTTGTTGAGAAATTAGGATTTACTACAACAAGACATTCTAAACCTTATAAATTACAATGGAATACCATTTGACATAGTTCTTATGAACGTTGGGCAAGTTTTGTTGGGTAGGCCGTGTAGTATGATAGGAAGGTGAAGCACGATGATTCAAGAATAGGTATAACTTTGTAAAAGATGGGAGACATGTTACTCTTGTACTCTTAACACCACAACAGGTGTACGAGGACCAACTAAAGTTGAGAGGTGAGGAGGAAAAGAAAAGCAATGAGATACAAAAGGAGAGTAAGAGAGAAAATTGTGAGATGGAAAGGGTAGGGCCACAAGAGAGAAAAGAAATAGAGTTTTCTGAGAAGAGAAAAAATCCAAAGTGAGCTCCTATATAAAGAAGAGTGAGATGGAGAGTGCTTTGGTGAGGGCTAACAATTCCCTCCTCAATTTGGATATCTCTTTATTATAGATAGACTTGATTGATGAGATACCACCCATTAAATATCCAATTGATTAGATGCAAGTGAAGAATTTGATAAACATTGAAGGATGAGCATTCAATGATGACATGGGAGAAGAAAAAAGGCATAATTATTCAAACCAGGCAGGGCCGACCCTAGACCAAAACCAACAAGGTAATGGCCTAGTGCCTTAAAAAGCAATATAAAAGTATGAAAAAAAATTTCCTGCAAAAAGTAAGTTGAAAGGGGTAAAGAATCTCTGAAGCATTGTTAATTATTCTACATAAATGGTTTTGAAAAAGGCAAAGAATGATGCTGATGCCTTGTGAACAACCTTCTCACTAATTTACCATTTATAGCCAAATGAATTGATCAGAATTCAGATTTCAAATTAATGAAAACTGAGAAAAAGGAACAAAAACACCATGTATTTTTGAAAACTAAAAGTTTGTAGTCATTTTTTATGAGCTAACAAATTTAAATTTAGTCTTACATCTTGACTTGAAACATTTACTCTAAAATAACAAATGGAAATGGAAAGAAGAGTGATCATATTAGTAGAGATGATTCAAAATCAAAGAACTAAGCAATAATTTATTTCGCTATATATAGTGTCATTATGTTACTATAAGACAAATAAATTATAGTGTATTTAGTAGATTTTGCATAAAGGGGTACTGGTTAGTATGTGATATATGGACAACTTTGTCTCAAAAGTTGTTATAAAATATGTTATGTTATTTAAATTTTAAATATTGCTCTACGCCAAAATAAATAAATAAATAAATATAAGTTAAGGGCTTCATAATAATAAGTCACCTAGGGCTTCACAATTATCAGGACCGGCCCTAAAACCAGGTGATTGGGACTCATAGGCAACAGAGGACGTGTTCGATTGCAAAGAAGGTCAATGTTTCATCCTAGAGGAGATGGATCATTTCATGTTAATGCAATGATTGAAGATAATTTGCTACAATTTGAATCTTCATATAACAAATTCAACATTGAATCCTTTCGAAGAAGGAGGTAATAATGTGATCCAAGCCACGCAATCAAGTGTTCAAGCCATGGAGTTCAAAAGGTTGACGTTAACATGCCAAAGAATAAGTTTTGTGTTGGGCTTGATAGAAAAATCACGTTGGAACAACATAATTCGAGCAACAAACAAAGACGTTGGAAAACTTATTATGCGATCGCATAGCTCAATTATGCATGCGGTCGCATGCACCTATGCAGAAACATTGTTGGGAAATTGAGGGTACTCTATGCGACCACATAGAGTAAAACTGCGACGGATTTTTTCAATTTTCACAAGATAGTTTATTTTAATTAAAACTCTTATTTTTGGTATCTTTGTAATCTTTTGGTTTTCTTTTCCGTTTTAACTAGATTTTTAGGGTTTAGTATAAATACATTTCATTATTTTCATTGTAAAAAAAACTTAGACATTACTGAGAGATTAATTCAGAGACAATTTTGCTTTCGATTCCTTTGTTCTTCATTGAGCAA